TAAAATCTCTATTTTATAGAGAAATTGGAACACAGAAAGTCTCAAACCTATTTAATATTCATAATATGTCAGTTCATGATGCAAATATGTATTAAAATAAAAATAAAAAAATTTCTAATTTTTCTTGAAATATGTGGGCTAACCCCTATGAAAAATATTGAATTTTCCGAAAAATGCTATCTATAACTTTAGACACTTTCGTGTTGTTTAAAAAATACCAAACCACACTCTCAATGTATATTAATGTAGGCTAAACATATTTTCATGGACCATGGTCCTTATTTTTAACTTTCCAACGATTAATTTATTTAATCTTCATATACAATATAATTAGTATTTTAACCCCTATAAAATCTCTATTTTATAGAGAAATTGGAACAGAAAAGGTCTCAAACCTATTTAATATTCATAATATGTGAGTTCATGATGCAAATATGTATTAAAATAAAAATAAAAAAAGTTTCTAATTTTTCTTGAAATATGTGGGCTAACCCCTATGAAAAATATTGAATTTTCCGAAAAATGCTATCTATAACTTTAGACACTTTAGTGTTGTTTAAAAAATACCAAACCACACTCTCAATGTATATTAATGTAGGCTAAACATATTTGCATGGCACATGGTCCTCATTTTTAACTTTCCAAAGATTAATTTATTTAATCTTCATATACAATATAATTAGTATTCTAACCCCTATAAAATCTCTATTTTATAGAGAAATTGGAACACAGAAGGTCTCAAACCTATTTAATATTCATAATATGTCAGTTCATGATGCAAATATGTATTAAAATAAAAATAAAAAAATTTNGATTAATTTATTTAATCTTCATATACAATATAATTAGTATTCTAACCCCTATAAAATCTCTATTTTATAGAGAAATTGGAACACAGAAGGTCTCAAACCTATTTAATATTCATAATATGTCAGTTCATGATGCAAATATGTATTAAAATAAAAATAAAAAAATTTCTAATTTTTCTTGAAATATGTGGGCTAACCCCTATGAAAAATATTGAATTTTCCGAAAAATGCTATCTATAACTTTAGACACTTTAGTGTTGTTTAAAAAATACCAAACCACACTCTCAATGTATATTAATGTAGGCTAAACATATTTTCATGGCACATGGTCCTCATTTTTAACTTTCCAACAATTAATTTATTTAATCTTCATATACAATATAATTAGTATTCTAACCCCTATAAAATCTCTATTTTATAGAGAAATGGGAACATAGAAGGTTTGAGACCTATTTAATATTCATAATATGTCAGTTCATGATGCAAATATGTATTAAAATAAAAATAAAAAAATTTCTAATTTTTCTATGAAATAATGATCACGATTTCACTATTAGATATAAGCACCGATGCATATTGTCAAATCATATGATTTTTGTATATAACATCACCTTATTTTTGTTTCAGTTATTAATACGACAGTAATTGGTGGTACGACAAGTAGAATTTTCAATGTAACATAAGTATGCTAGTACATCACATAATGTTCACTTTCTGATATTCTATAACCACAAAAGATAATACCGTACTTCCTTTTTTCAAAAAAAAGAAGAAGATAATACCGTACTTTGATTTCAAATGTAATAAGGACGAGACGACATTAACTAGTGCTGCGACGTATAGGAACTGCGCTATTGTTTCTTTAAACCGGACAAGACGTGCTTTACTTTAGTAATCTAGCTAGATTGTTAGTGATTGATACTATTCAATTAAGGAGGTAATGGTTAAAGAGAAGGCACCACACAGTAACTCCCACTTTATCCGTCTCTTATTTTTCTTTCATGTTTACGATTCCACCAAACTCGTGCGTAGACTAAGACCTTTAACAAATATCACATTAGTCGGCAAGACTCTACCGTCCGTATTATATAACTAACATAAACTCACGTGTTTCTTGAACTTATTTCCATTATTATACATACATAGCGACAAAAGTAAACCAAACAAATATACTTAATAGTCCAAGACGGTGTTAATAGGCACATTTTCTTTAATACGAAACGGAAGTTTCATGGGGAGTCAAGAATCAAGATGCGTATTCATTTTCTTTTCCAGATACTAGAAGTACAACAAGTATAGCGCAAAAGGTCAATGCCACTAGAGGGAATAAACATTTAAGAAATTAAACATATTGTATATTCTTACAAAGTAACTTAATAATCCTAAAGCGTGTCGTGATCCCAAGAGATTAGAGAGTAGCCCCAGCGCGAAATAAACATTGGTGTCGTGGAATGTGAGATGATTCTTTCTTTTCAAAGTCCCAGTTAACAAAGAGATAAGAGTTTCGTTTTAGGCTGATGTCGGGAAGTAAGGAGATGCTGATACTAATCTGCAACACACAAACAAAAGAAAAAAGAAAATGTTAAAACGTGTTCTATATAGCGTAACTTATTTTGAACACGTCAAGATATTTCTTTAGTAAGAAAAAAAGACAAACAGACAGATGCTTAGTTTCTTTCGGTGTTTCTCCTCATTTCCTCATCTTTTTGACAATTGTCAATTTTTGGAAGTACACTTAAAGAACAACTAAAAGTCAACGTGTTTCTGACGTTCAGTAATAACCTAACGCGTTTTCTGTATTCTACGTCTAAGATCACGATACCTACGTAGAACTAAAACCATGTGCTACTACCAGAGTCATATCTAAAAGTTGTATGAGTTAAAAAAAAAAGAGACACGAATTCTTATAATTTTACATAGGGTTTTAATGGAATATTCATAACTAAAATGATAAAGAAAATAAAAACTTTTGATTACCTCTCCTTGCGCTTCTCAAGAAACCTTTGTAGTGACTTTGTCCTTTGGATGGGAAGATCTGTACACAAAAAAAACACACCTCCCTATCAGAAAACAAATGTTTTCCTAAAAACATGTTAAGTTAAAAACATGTTAGGCTTCAAAACTCAAACTAATTAACAATTAGTGGATTTGTCCTCCCGTCCACATTTAATGACGTCGGTTTTTTCTAACCTCGACATGCAATAAAAATCTAGTATACTCTAGAAGAATCAAGTATTGTGGTCTCATTGTTAATTTCTACTAACCTCCTTCTAGATTCTGGCCAAAGAGCTTTGTCCCTAGGGTGGTCGGGGGAATTACCGAATGATCTTTCACCATCGACTTGTCTTTCTTCGGCGCTGTTTCCATGACAACCTTCAGAATTCTATCAGCCTTGTCAGGAGACACTTGGTAAACGGAGACGGTTCCATTGTAGAAGATGGTCATGGGAACAGTTCCAGAGACAGGTTCCGTAGGCCTGAAAATAATTTTTTAAAACATTTGAATTTTCTATATTATTTGGTTAGCTTATAGGCCAAACGGTAAAATAATAAAGCAAAAAAAACTAACATTGTGAGAGGTTTTTGGACCGGAGAAATAGGGATCTGAGGATGATCTGCATGGTTAGAACCAGAAGCTAATAACGATTTGATAATCTCCGGGTCCATCTTAGAAATGGCACCTTGAATATCTGTAATGATATACCAAATAAAAATCGATAAAATGGTTTTCAGACAAAAAAAAATGAAAGTTAAAGAAGTATAGTATAAACGAACCACGGAAACTGCGACGGCGGTCGAGAAACTTTTTGAACGTAGGCTTTGGAACGTTGTTGGTCTGCTTCTTTTCAAGACCGAAGAAGTCGAGCTCTGTGGTAACTCTAGTCATCTTTGATCTGATCTTGCTATCTAAAACAGAGAGATGGAGATTAGATGAGAGAGATGAAGGATATGTTTTTTAGATGAAGAGGAGGGAGAGGAAGAAGTAATGATAAAAAGGATTTTTCATGTGAGTTTTAAAAATAATTAATGATGTGTATCCGTCAGATATAACGCACGAGGTTCATGTTTTCTCTTTCTTTTCGGGACAAATAGGTAAAACTCTAACTCATCCACTTTCTTTTTGTTTTCTTTTTCTTTATTCAAATCCTTTGTTTTCTTATTAACTAGTAATTTAATGACTAAAAGTCTAAACACATGCTAACAGCCTAATATTAATTTGTTTCTCACTCGCACGGAAATTGCAGAAGTCCAATCAAAATGGTAACGTTTTTAACTTAGAAAATATCTTCAATTCCTATTGGATCCCAAGAATTGTTGTGTTATTTATAATTATATTGTCTACTGCAGTTTAAAGATCTAGAGCGTTTTCTAGAACATGTTTCTGGATTTGATTTCTTAATTTGTCTTTTCTTGTATATAATATTTATTAAACATGAGCAAAACTGCTTTTCTTTTGCCGTATTCTTTCCGTATTACTATTTGCTGTAATGTATTGCATGTACTTGAATTTAGAATTTTCATCACAAAAGACTAGAAAATAGAACAATACCAAACCAAACATGTATTTTCTCATAATGTTCACTTTGGCTTCCTGACACTAACATTGTACGTTCCCTACAAACAATATCATATTTTCTAAAAACATCTTATAAAATTAACATTGTATCAAAACTATGCTCCAATGTTTTTCAAGTTACAGTTTCATTACAAAAACCTGCAAACAGTCATATACAGTGTATGGTCTGAAGACTTGTGCAAATAAATATAAATGAAGAATTTAGCAAGAGAAGTTAAATAAACACAACGAATTAAAAAAATGAAAAGTGAAAGAGTTAGAGATGCATGTCTTTCACGTGTTGAGATGTAGTTAATGTCGAAACATCACTACTAGGCAGCTTGTTTCCGTCGTTTTCTCTCCTTTGCTAACAGTTCTGATTTGACTTAGCCTCTCTCCCTCTTGATACAAATTTTTTTTTGGTCGAATCCCTCTTGATATAGTTAAGTTAATACGCTTCTCTCATATTCCGTGAATTGGAATATTTATTTCATTCATCTCACGTTTTCTCTGTCGATATTACTTTTCAAGCTAACCAACTCGCCTACCTTCAACATACCAACTTTCCTTCTTTTTGGTCTTTTTCTCATCTAGACTAATTCTAAAAAAAAAACATTTTTATTTATTGATCTCAACACATTAAATATGTCATTTTAAAAAGTTGAAATAAATTGATTGGGGTATTTATGTATTGTTTTTTTTTTCCTGTTTTAGTGTCAAGATTCATACCTTTAATTTAAACGTGCTAATTCCTTCCTTCTCAATTATTAAGCAATAAATAAACTAAGATAAAAAAAACTATCACAATTAGACACACAATCGAAGTAAAAAGCAAGAAACAAAGAGTTATTAGAAAAAATAAACGAAGGTAATATGAACACGGAATGTGAGACGTTTAAGCATCAGTATGTTAAGGTTAAATAATACTACTATAACATTTTTACATGGAATGTGAGACGTTTAAGCTTCGAGTAATTAAAGTTTTCTCAGATACTCAATTAAATCCCAATATTTTAGAAACGTTTTTTTTCTCTGAAGAAAATCCATCTCACAAAGAAAGAAAAAAAATTGTCATTTTCACACATTTTGCGTATTTAAATAACTAACTGTAAGGAACCCGAGAGTCTTATTGCCCAAACGTTTCTTCATCTCCAAAGGCTAAAATTAAAGAACACGTTCTTATCATTTTTATGGAACGAGTGCTTGTTTGTTTATGTATGGACAGACGGACACATATGCATGAAAACTAGAATGCTATTGGGCCATTATAGCTAAATATCACGTTTAAGTTCTTAATCAGAAAGCCCAGTAAGTGTGATTCATATTTCAAGCTTGTTTCCAAGAAGTAGAATCCTTCAAATAAAAATTTGCTTTGAATCAGCTCGTAATCTTCTTTGTTTTTACTTATTCTCGCTCTGTTTTGCTTCATCCTAATTCTTAATACTTGGCCGTACCAACCAATACGGGTGTCGAAACAGTGACAAACGGTGATCAGAGATCAAAAATCTTGGTGCAGCTGCTGTTGTTCGCATGTTATAATGTGCACTTTTTTAAATGTACCAGAAAAAAACTGAAAGATTCAGAATTACCATTGTAAAAAATGTGTGAGAAGGAGTATATATACAATTGTCTAGTGATTCGTCAATTGAACAGTCTATTGTCTCGACTCTTGTCTCTTCTCCGCTATGAAACAAGACTCTTCACGTATTTATGTTTTTGCCCTTTTTAAATCCCTCCCACATGTAATGATGGTGTGATGGGCTTTCTGACCAAGCTAAGCTGCTTTGTTTAAACCCGACTTGTTTTGCTTTAAGTATTTCAGGCTCTACTCTGTTTTGGTAAACGGGCTCCCTAAGATCATCACACCTCCTTGGGCCTTGGCTATCTGAAAACTTCAATCTTGGTTTCTAATGTGTGTACAAGGCCAGAAAAGCCATTTGTGAAAATCGTAGTATTTGCTTAAATCGATTCAAATATTACGAACATAAACTTCCTTTTTTTATGACAAACTAACGTAAACTTCGTGATTAGCTGGATGGTCTTGTGTTTTTTTTTTTTCAGATGAAAATGTCACTATTGTGTTTAGTTCATTTATAGGGTAAATCGTTAGAGTTTGATATATGAAAAGATCATATAGTCAGCTGAAGTTTATAAATATTTCTGTTGTTTCCAGAGTCCTTTTTATTTTTATTTTCCAACATATTTATTCATGAATTATGTTTTCTCTAATTTTCTATCTAAAAAAAGAGTATAGTATTATTGGTTGTGTTTCTTAAATACCCAGACAGTAAGCATTCTGGTATACTTCCCTATCAATCAGGGTCATGTAGATAATCGCAACTTATGTTAAGATAAATCATAGTTAAACTATTGAGGCATGACTACTTATCAACTTCAAAATGTTTTTTTGCTTTTTGTTTTGTTTTCTTTCTGTTGGTATTTATGCTCTCTCTTTTTTTATTTTATTTTTTATTTATGCTCTCTTAACTGTTTGGGTTTTACAAAAGCATCACATTTCTATTATAGGTCTTTGATTAGGGCGACATCAAGTCATGTAAATAATCCTTAAGTAAACGAATAAAGTTTGATATCTTTTTAGAATGGAAACTGATAAACAAGAAGTTGCGTGCAAAGGTGAAAAGGCAGATAAGTTTTTAGTGCACTACAGGTGTGCAACTGTAGTTGTCACCAAGCATATGCCTTGTCTGCTGGTTTTGGTGTTCAAAACTTATACTCTTCTGTTTTGTTGGAATCCGGGATCAGTCAGAGTTGCCTCTTCAGCGTGTGAAGTGGCTTTAATTGGTTAGGTTCTTTGGGACCATTTAGATGTCTATCTATAGCAAGAAATTTAATCCCTTTGACTAAGTCTTGGGATTAGTTCTTCACTATAAATGTCTAATCATGCCTGACAATTAAGGAAGATACAGCTGAATCTTTGATGGGGTCCATGATTTACAGTTTTTTCAAGATACGTGTAGGATTTTGCTTAGAGATTAAAGAAGATGAGGACCACAAGGGGAAAGCTAAACATGTGATGTAAGTAAAACTGCTCTTATTTCAAATCCTTTTATTATTTATCATTCTGTCTCAGAAAGCTGAAGCTGATCCTCAATTCACTCCCTCACAAGGGGTTTTGTTTCTTCACACGCAACCTCTACACAATATATCATGCTCTATTTTTAGGTATTTTACCTTATTTTAATGTGTTGCCGAAAAATTCCAGTTTTTCTGGACTGAAATCTCCTTAGATAGGGGCAGTGGCGGATCCAGCCGATGATCTAAGAGGTGTCAAGACCGGAATTGAACACTGGTTTAGGGGTGTCAATTGACAATTTCTAGTAGAATTACATCAAATTCTCACTGTTCTTAAGCATATTTTTAAGATTTTATAAAGTTATGGGGTGTCACATGACACCCCTCCTCTCTGAATGGATCCGCCACTGGATAGGGGACTAGGTCACTAGGGCATGCAAAGTCTACCTCCACCTCCCCATTGTATTTTCAACGGGTTAAATTACCAACGTCTGATTTTTTCATAAGCATTTTATGGAAGGGTGTCAAAATAGACATCGGGACAGGTTGATGATGGTATAGACGTTTAGTAATTAACTATGGGGTTTAGGTTTGTGTTGTAATCAAGAAATGAATATGGGAAGAGTCACATCTCTAGTTTTGCTTAGAGTCTAGGCAACATGTCTTTGAGGACTGACCTCATTCTCTTCCTTTAATGCTTTGTTAGGAGACTTATGGGAACAGGCAAGAGCCATAGAGAGATTCTGGCTCTTAAACCAATTAAAGAAATATTGATGGAATAAAATTATAAAAACTCTCTTTGGTATATTTGAGTTTGCTTACCCAACTAGCCTCCTTCTTGTTTTATGTAGTTTAATTATGGTGTAGTGGTTGAGAGAAAAAAAGGGAAAATGATTGAATTCAAGAGATTTATATTGTTTTTTTTTTAAGAAATTTATTTTTTTTTATAAGAAAATGGGATAGAGAATTTTATATTTCTTTTTGATAATTGATGATGCACATTCTCCACCTTCGTAATGTTTCTTTTCTTTGTGAAAATGTTCTTCATGATAAATCTATCTTATTAATTAAACTCTGTCATTAATTTTCTCGCAATTTTTCTGGCTACTCTATAGTAATAAAATCAAGTCTGTTATTTTTCCTTACGTTTGCTTGTGTGAATTTTCTTATTTGTAGTTGTTCTTGCAAAAATATAATGTGTTTGCCATTGCCTATCGTATTTTCTCTTTAATGTGTAAACTTTACATTTATTTATTTTCGTTGTTTCACACTTGCATGTAATTTTACCGTTTGCTTAGTACTGTTGATTTGCCCTTTCAGCTGTTCAATCTGATCTACAATAGTGTTTGTGTTTGCATTAGAACATCTCCATTAGAGGTTTATAGGGGGAG